AATTATTTTCTCAAAGTTAATCAAATATTGCAAGTTATTATTTTTTATGTTAAATCATTATTTTCCTAAAAATAGTCAAAATATATATTAGTCAAGTCGCAGGTCAACCGCATGTTAGCGGGCACTTCGAATGCTTAAACCCTTCTCGAAGTGTAAATTGAACCCCGAACCCTCTTTGGTATTTTCAAATGATTTTTTCTGTTTAAATCTTTGAAAATTATAAGTTTTCTTAATTTCTTTAAAAAATTAAGTGGGGACTCTTTTCTAAGTATTTTTCTCAAATCGTTTTATACTTGGAACATTTCAAAAGAGTGATTTTTCTGAAGTTAGGAAAATTACGACATAACACTCTCCACTCTCGATTGCTCGTTGGGCAGTCTCTCCCTCGCCTCTCTCACTTTATACAAACACAAATGTATACAATGCGTTTGTGTTTGTATAAAGTGAAAGAAAATAGTAGATATACATATCTTTTCGTTCGCCTCTCTCCCCAGAGAATCTCAGTCGCCACTCTCTCATATCTCGCTCATCACTCTCACACACCTCTCTCACTTTATACAAACACAAATGTATAAATTGCGTTTGTGTTTGTATAAAGCGAGAGAAAATTGTATATACAAATATAAATACATATATTTTCATCCTATACACTTATAATTATACAAATACAGATCATCCCCTGACCAATTTTCTTGTCTTTCTCTCTTTCTCGCTTTATACAAACACATATTATACAATTGATTTTTTTGTATATGTCTACTGAAACAGTTATACAATTGATTCTTTTGTATATGTATATCGAAATATACATATTAATAGTCATAACAAACATAAAGTTTGCTACGGAGCGCAATTATACAAACTATAGCTATAACATACAAATATAATTTTTATGTTTGCTAAACCTAAAATTTACTCTATTAAAATACATTATATGTGAATTTATAATAACTCGAAGGTATACAACGTATATATATTTGCTGAGAATCTTATACATATCTTTTCTTAAATGAGTATGGAGCATAATATTTGAATATTATGGGTAATTTTTATTGGAGAAATTACCTTATTAGGCATACATCCATGCTACTTATTTACTAATTCTATCTATATTTTCAAATAATTACGTATATCTTACTACTAATTAAGAGTTTTCTATCATATATTAAGAAAGATACACCTAGATACATGTACTTTTGATACCAGATATATTAAAATAGAGAGATAGGCGAACAAGATAGTCATGTATCCCAGATACATGCGGATCATGATAGATACACACTAGATATATATGTATGTATATGGTATGATTCACATGTATCTGAGATGTCATATACATAGAGAGTGGCACGTGAGATGGGAGGGAGGTGAGGGAGATTTATTATGTATCTCATATACATGCGAATTCACTTGGATACGGTGTATTTAGAACATATTACACTTAATTTTAACTCCATGAATCCCGAGATGCATGTTTTTGAAAGTATCTGGACGCACCAAAGTATAATAAGATTCGTAATATTACAAACCAAAGTATGTCTAAATAATTAACTCCTAAACTAGTGAAATTTCTATAAATTTTCCATTTTATTTTGTGACATGGACATGCTCGTAAATTTCCTCATAAAAGGCTTTAGAAAGAAAAAAAAAGAAAAAGAAAACATAACGTAGGTCATGCTTAGGTCCATTGTTGAGGGTCCAATTGTCTGAACTGTTAAGGTACTAAAATGGCTAATGGGCTTTGTTCTTACGGGATTTGCATATTTGACCATTCAAAAAAGGGGAACTTAAACAGAACTTGGATTTTAATTTAAATAAGATTTGAGAGGTGACATCGATCGATAAAGTTTTTGAGTTTTAATTTAGGAAAAATTGTATATAATAGCAAACTATTAATTCAAATTAAATGCTATAAACATAGTTTGATTTAATTGTACCCCATATCAAACTGTTGCTATTTCGCCTCACTCCCTGGTGGAATCTCGCTCGCCACTCTCGTTCTCGCTGGCAGTCTCGCTCGCCTCTCTCGCTTTTTATACAAACACAAATGTATAAAATGCATTTGTGTTTGTATAAAGTGAGAGAAAATTGTATTTATACATATATTTTCGTTCCCCTCTCTCCCCTCTCCCAAATCTCGCTCGCCACTCTCCTAGATCTCGCTTGTCACTCTCGCTCGCCTATCTCACTTTATACAAGCACAAATGTATACATTGCATTTGTGTTTGTATAAAGCAAGAAAAAATTGTATATACAAACACAAATGCATATATTTTCGTCCTATACACTTATGATTGTACAAATACGATCTTCCCCTATCCAGTTTTCTTTTGTCTTTCTCTCTTTCTCACTTTATACAAACACAGATTATACAATTGATTCTTTTTATATGTAAAACGAAACAGATTATACAATTGCTTCTTTTGTATATATGTATAACGAAATAGTCATAACAAACATAAAATTTGCTATAAAACGCAATTATGCAAACTATATCTATAGCATACAAATATAATTTTTGTGTTTGTTATATGTGAAAGTTGCTCTTTAATTTATTAGTGGTGCGGACGAGTTAAAAGAGTTTAAATAGGTCAGTAGATTTAATTGGAGAAAAGAATGTCACGTAGGCACGCACCACATAGAAAAATTATGTCGGGACACATAAATTTAAGGGCAAATTACAGAAATCACATACTTTTAAGGTAAAATTACAATTTATCCCTTAAAAGTTTATAATTACAGAAATCCCTCAAACGGATACAATAATATAAGCACTGATACATTAATCTGATGCGCAAGATACATTAATCGTTAAGTAAGATACATTACATTTTATACATGATACACTAATCTGATGTACATTTTATACATTATACACTAATCTGATGGGCGAGATACACTAATCTGATGCTCGAAAATGAGGAATTTTGGAGATTTGTAAAACTTATAGGGGATAATGGTAATAAGTAAACTAAAATGTGAGATTTCTGTAATTTTTCCTAAATTTAATGCACTAAGGGTAAATATAAATATTATTTTTGTACAAGAGTATACGATCGTTAAGTTGAATTAAAATGAAAATATAACTTATTTATAAAATTACAAGGACAAATAATGACTCTTTTCCGAAATGAGAATTTGGTTCATGAAAAATTCTCTATGGGACGGAACGGAGCGAACTTAAATCCTTTCGAATTAATTAGGGTTGAACTCGTTCTGCAATTGCACAACTCCATCTGCCTGCCATCTATATCTAGGAGAGGGGGGGGGGGGGGGGGGGGGGTTGTAGCTTAATGTTATGAAAATTTTGTACAACCATTTCTCGATTTGTGCGTGTCATCCTTGCGCAGGGGCCATGCTAATCTTCTCTGTATCGTTCCAATTTTATCGGATGTCCCCGAAGGGACTGAAAATTTTGTACAAATTATATAGTGTTAAGAGCTAATTATATTTTATTTTATTTTTTTGAAATTATAAAAATTTCTTAAATTTGGTGGAATCCGAATATATCCTAAATCGTCTTGATACATCGCATCCCAATTTTAGATATACTGCTCAAAGTCCTGATACATCACGTATCGATTTCAGATACATCACTCCACGTCCCGATACATTGCATACATCCCAATACACCGCGTAAAGTGATGTATCCGACCGATACATCGCATAAAGTGATGTATCCGTTAATAGGAGAAAGTAGGGATTTTTGTAATTTTTTCAAATGGTAATTTAAGAGAATATAATAAAATAAGTTGTGTATTTAAGTAATTTTTCCTAATGTTATCGGGTTCAATAAAGGTAAAAGAATTAATAATTTAATCCATATAATATACTCCCTTCGTTCCTTTTTATATGTCATCATTTTAGATTGCAATTGCATTAAGAAATTAAGTAATTTTACCCTTCTATCTTTATTTAATGTTTTTTAAGTCAATTTTTCAATAAATGATGAATATGCTAGATTTCAAAAATTAAAATGCATGTGGATGACTATAAATTTTTGAGTTTATTTTCAAAATCAGATTTTATAGAATAGTGAATGTAGAGAGTAATTAATCAATGTATGAAGTACTCCAATGAATATTAATTATTTATTAGTTTTTCTAGGTTGGTCAAAATATATATTTTCAAGACTAATTAACTACTCTATCAAGGGTATAATAGGAAGAATATGATAATTTATGCATTGATTTTATAAAATAACAAGTACTCCCTCCGTCCACAATTGTTTGTCAGGGTAAGGTCATGCACATCCCTCAAGGAAAATTTAATACAAGATGTAATTTGACTAATATAACCCTACAATACCAAGAATATCAAAAGTCCACATAACTTTTCAATTGAACTACACTATCATTAAGGGCAGAATTGGAAAAAAGTGACTAATTATTTCTTGATTGTTTAAATTGACAATTAATCTTGGACATCTATTTCTAGTATACCTGCCAAATAATTGTGGACGGAGGGAGTATTATGGTCTAACTATTTATAGAAAAGAAAAACATATAAAAAAGAACGGAGAGAGTATATTTTAAATTAGCCCATGACTCTTAATCTTATCCCTAATCTTGAATTCAATGGTTAGCAGTATGATGAGTAGGTTTGACGTTAAGCAGAGAAAAACAGAGGCAGCAGACAAAGAGAGGGTTAATGTTGGTCCCCCATGCATCCTTTGAAAATTGAACCTTTTAATAACTCCCATCTTCTTATTTTGACTTGTGCACCAAAACATCAATTTTCACTTGGGTCCCTTCCACACGAACAATTTTTGTTTTCTACTTTTCTCGACTACTAGTCTACCACACAACCAACACTTTTTGCAATAAATTCCATACCAAAATCTTATTTTTTTCTTTTCTCTACTCGTTAGTAAAATCTATAGTTCTTTTTGAATTCATAGTCTTTCTAATTTTGCATATTTGCTTATAACAGTTAAATAAAATCTACACGTTCAATATTATAGATAACAATATAATACCTCAGTACAATAACCATAAAACTTTCAGAAAAACGTTGTCAATATAGAAAGATTTGAATGTACATGTTAATACAAATGCTATTTAAAATACTTATTCTGAACCTATATATTCTTAAGATGAATATACTTTGAGATAAAACTTGATAACTCAACTAGTTTACAATGATATTGCCCACAAATTGATCAGACTCTAAAATGACACAACTTGTTTCTGCAATAGAAAGGGAATGGTTATGCTCTCCTTCGTACGTGACCATAAGCATTGTTGGTTCATCTAAAGCTCTTTCTACATGTTTACGTGCTGGACACCCTCTCACACTACTACATTTGTAATATGCCCTGCAATTATTTACCAACAAACAATAATGTTTAGTTCTAAATTTTGCAAAAAACATTTTTTTGGAAGTACAAAGCAAAAATGTTTAATTTAAATGCACGGCTCATATAAATAATCAAGTTACTTACGAGTCGTTTGGTTGCTGGTTAGAAAAGATTTATTTATGGATTAAAACTTGCACAACTTAATACATTATTTGGTTAAAAATATGAGAAAAAATAATCCTCATAAGTTATACCACGATTGTTTAGTTTTTTTTCACTTGTTTTTCTTTTCTCTATAGCTAACATATATATATTTAAGTAATGAGAGAATTTATTTATATACATATAATATGGAATAACTAATAAAAGAATTCATGGATTTGTTCATGTACCTTGGATGTGGAGATCCTTTAATTGGCTTTTGACCATATTTCCTCCATGAATAATCATCAGGTGGGATGTCTGACAACTTCATGCTTATTGCTGGAACTCTAACTACTTTTTTAAGTCTTAATTTCCTGTTAAGATTGATCAACAAAATAATTACACACAGCTGAAATAAATACGTAAATTACAATTAAGGAGAATAAAGATTGAGTTTTTATACCTTCTCTTTGAGCAATGGCATCGACCGGAGGAGCCACTGCACATGCCGGAGAGTCCATTCTTCGACGAAGTACACTTTCTAATTTTAAATGAAGAAGACAAGGGAGGTTCAACAACTGAAGAAAGATTTGAAATATATTTTCTCTCTGTTTCCCCTGTTATCGTTGAGATATTGAAAGAATTTGAGCGACAAATTTCAGGAGCATACGAAAAATTAATCGTATTTGTAACTGATTCCTGTTTTTCAACTTTATTATTATAAAATTCATAGGCAATTGGAGGGAGTTGTTGAATTGGAGTAGGACAATAAACTTTGCTATCAGCATAATCTTTCTTGAAATGATCTGTAGGAAGAGGAGAAGCAATTGGTGCTCTTCTGAATCGAGCATATCCAGTTCTTGATCCACCCAAAAGAGAAATTACTTTCTTAAACTTTGTAACAGCGGCATCCGCCACTATTTCAATCTCCATGGGGGATGATTTTTCTTGATTTAGGAAACAAGTAAAATTCCCCTGTTTTTGCTTCTGTGATAATAATTTGATGAGTTTTTCAACGCTCTCAACCCCAGAGGCAGCTTCTTGTATAACTGCCTTTTCTTCTAAATTTCTTGTGAAGCTATTGTTAGTATTACTAGGTGTGTTTATGTAATTCATCATGAGCTCTATAGCCATGACTATTGACTACTGTAGTCTGTAGGTGGGTGGGGAGGGGGAGTTTCTGCTACAGAAATTTTGGTGCTAAGAAACATCAATCAGATGAGAGAGAAATAGGGTGAGAGAATATTGTTAAGTATTATTATTGACAGTATTGATAAAGGGTCAAATAGATGCCGTCGGCGAGGTTATCATTGAAAATGTGTTACCACTTTAACAATTCACTTAATCAATCGCGAAGCCAAAAATTTATTTTAAGAATTGTTTTTAAAAAATAAGTGAGTTGAATGTTATTTGTTTAGTCTAGAGATTCTATCATGAATGATCTCAATATTTGTCAATATCAAATATAAACAATTGAGTTTTTTTTTTTTTTGATGCATTGATTTTATATGATAAAAATATATAATTATTGTTTTTAAAGTGAAATATTGATAAAACAAATGCATGTATTTATTTTAGGGTGGAAATGAACACGCTTAACCACTGCACCACGAAAGAGTTTATATCAAAATTGTTCAACATTAATTATTTATCCCTTAAATTCAGCATTTGACCACTCTATATGATGTAAATGACTGTAGCTCCACCCCTGCACTTAACATAGAAGAGTAGAAGTAAAATTTATGAAATTTCTGATTTCACCGTAAATTTATGAACGTATAAGATTATGGTCAAAGCAGTAGTGACTGAATCTAATTATGAGTTTACAAAGTAGAAAGAGATTGGTATTTAAATGTCAAATATTAAGAAAAATTACATAGGTAATTAAATATAATTTCAGGACTACATATTAACGAGAGAGTTTGTGTAGTTAGGAGGATTCGGGTGCATTAAAGTTTTGTACTAGTGCTACTTAGTTTGACTTGGTAAGTATTTTTGAGTCAGATGTCCCTACTTACATGTTGCATGTCCCAATTACTCCATATGTCGAATAATAATTGTCTTCACACAATAATAAATAATAGTGATAATATTACTATTTTATTCTTTGATTTTATTAAATTTAATGCTTTGAAAAATGTATTATATGATAAATAGTACTCCCTCCGTCCCATTTTATGTGGCAACATTTCCTTTTTGGTCAGTCCCAAAAAGAATGTCACATTTCCTTATATGGAAAGTATTTAAAGGTACAATTCCTTTTTTATCCTTGTTGGTCCCACTTAATCTTAAAATAATACTCCAATACATTTATGAGGAGAGAGAAATTGAGTCTACTTTTTAAAAGGGCAATTTGGTAAACATTTCAAAGTCTTCATTTATTTCTTAAACTCCGTGCCCGGTCAAATGTTGCCACATAAAATGGGACGGAGGGAGTAGTAGTATTTTGTAGCAAGAGTGAAATAGACATAAAAAGTCAATTATCTCTTGTTTTTCTAAATTGAACAAATATTATTGAACAATTATTTTTAGTATAGTAGACAACTATTATTAGACGGACCGGAGGAAGTAATTAATAATTAATATTAGTCCATCTTCCTTTTATTTGTATTTTTCTGTTTTAGCGCTAGTATTCAATTTCAATTTGTCTAGTCCATCATATTCATTTCATCATTTGTCAAATGCCTTCAACTGCGCTACAATGTTTTCCATTTGTATTATTCCACTCCTAACGTTGAACAGCAACCAACTCAGACTTTTCTTCTTGCTGCACACCTCTAGGAAAAATCTTTATTTTTTATATTTTAAAAATCAAGGGAGATTGTCTTCTTTTAAAGTTACAAAAAACGTTTATAAATATATTATAAACGTTACGTAAGGAAAATATAATTAAAGCAAATTCTAGATTAAAAGTCCATCCGTCCACTTTTGATTGTCATATTGTGTTTTTTCAAAAGTCAATTTGACTAATTTTCAATGTGAAATTTGATTACATTAATTCGATATTATAAACAAAAAAATTAGATATTCAAAAATTATACGAAAAGTACTATAAATTGCAATTTTTTACATATCAATATGATGAAAAAAATACATCGTAAAATATTAGTTAAAGTACTTATCATTTTACTCTAAAAAAGGAAACTATGACAATTAGAGGTGGACGGAGGTAGTAGATAGTAATATGCAATATAGCCCCTCCATCCAACAATAATTGTCCACTATACTATTTTGGGATGTCCGATAATACTTGTCCACTTTATGAAATCAATGAATAATTTTACACTTAGTTCCTAATTTACCCTTATCATTAATTATAGTTATTTTCCTATTATATTTTTCAAAACATTATATTTATTATATTTAAAAGGTGATATAGTTTCTTAAGAGGTGTGCAAAATCAATAATGAATAATTATTGTTGGACGGATTACATCCTAATCAATTAATTATAAAGAGCTATATATGATAGGTATATATTGTAATTGATGGTGAATTGGTGATTAATACTAGGGAGGGTGCCTAGAGGATTGAGCCAAGGAGACTTCTTATTTACCTATTTTATTGTTCTTTTCCTTCAAACAATTTTTTTTTTTTTTTTTTTTGTATTTCAGACTTGTTGTACTATTATGAGACTGCTGCTGCACCTCTTTGACTTGTGATATCCGGGAGCGGCTCAATACGTTTAAAAATGAGCCAGCAAATTTGTGAACTCTATTTTTAAGTAATATATATAATTAATATAATTTTAATTTGCTTCTTTTTTTTAGTTCATTTTGAATAAAGAATGTTTTTTTTTTCTGTCAATTTTTAAATTTAACTTTTCATGTGACATATTTAAGAGTTAAGATCACAAGATTAAAAGATATGTTGATATATATATATAGTTTAAGAGCATAAAACCGAAAGTTAAAAAATTTCCTACATAGCGTTTCTTAACTTCCCCAATTCAATTTGCATAATATCGTCTCTCAATTTATATTACAGATTTACAGTACTTTCTTTTGAAATATAAAAACTCAAATTCATTTTAAGTATTTAAATTTTGATGCTTTCGTTTCTAATTTGAGCTCTCTTTCATCGACTATCAACTCACCACGATTTTCCTTTTTTTTTAATCGATTAGGAAGCTACATAACTAGAATTTGTGTTGAGGTATGATTGGTTGATAATAATTAATCCAATTCGTCCATTTGACACCATAACTCAGTCTAATCGGCCGCTAAAATCAGCAGTAAGATTCACAAGTCAGATAAGAAACACAACATATATATATATATATATTTATATTTATTTATTTATTTCCAACTAAATATATCCTTAATGATTAGCATTAAACTAAATAAGCAGTTCTTAATAATACTCAATTCTAATTAAAAGAAACATCTATGGAATAGTATTATCTTGTACTCCCTTCGTTTCAATATAAGTTTTTAGTTCGCTTGAACACGACGTTTAAAAAATAAAAAGAAATTTTTGAATCTTATGCTCTTAAATTAAAGATGTAATATGTAGTCCTTTAAATCTTATAGTCTTAACTTGTTATGCAAAATTTCGAAATTCAAAAACTTATTAATAGAGAAAGTAACCCTCTTTTGAGGACAAATTAAAAAAAGAAAGTAAAAAACTAAAAAATTGAACAAAGGGAGTATAATTATTTTTGTCACGCCTCTAGCCTACACCCTGGGCGGGACTGGCACTCGAGAACCATTGCTGGCCCCAAGCGAACCCTTGGCCTGACTTACTTACTCAGCGGAAGACTTTAAGCATTAAGAAAAGAACTCAAATGCAAGATAATCAATTGTCTCAAACTAAACTCATAATGTATTAGAAATAAACATTTAACTTAGTCAAAGTGACAACTCAAATATGAACATAAGCCAATAGCAAGATAAAGACAAATGACTAATTGACTGTCTATCTATGGAGCCTCTAAAACTGAGATGGATGTCGGGACAAGACCCTTTACATCCTAATGAACTAAAATGATAAAGTAATGAAAGGGGGATCCTCCGGAAGCAAGGAGGCTCACCAACAAACTCTGAAGCTCAACTAGAATCAACAATGCACTGGATGCTGATCCTGGTTACCTGTATCTGCATCATTAAAAGATGCAGGCCAATTGGCATCAGTACATTAAATGTACGAGCATGCAAGGGGAATTCTAAAACAAGACATAAGCTTGAAAGGAACTGAAAGAACATACCTGGGCTCAACTCGACTCAACTTAACTCATTTCAATATAAAGCAATAAAATAAATGCAATATAAAGAAAAGCGTTTAAAACATGGATAACAACTCTGTGTATTTAGAAATATAATAGTAGCTCTGAATGTATGAAAAGATACAATATAAACTTTGAATGTATATAAAAATACAATTAACTCTGTGTATATAAGAATATAAAATACTGCTGTGAGAGTTTCTCTAACCGACAACCATCACTTAAGAGCTATTGTGATGATACAACGTTTTGCCTCATGCTGCCAAGGCCGTTCTATACCTTGCCAAGGACATAGAACCTGACTACTAAGTGGATCCAGTAGTCTATGCTAAAAAGCACTAAGGAATCATCTAAAAAGTATGACCCTTTTCTACCCATGATGGCTACATGGTTTGTGGGGGCTGGGAGTTGTCTGAACTCTCCCCCATATCGGTGCTCAATACTACTCCCAAAATATGTACTAGCTCTTATGTTTAAAAACATACTTCTTTCTGTGGTTTGAGATAATTTCTTAAAACTTAGCTCAAAGGCTATCTTGGAAATCAAAGTTTCTTCTCTTGCTTAATTATGAAAGCATTTACTCTTTATTGAAAATTAGCTCAAATGCTCTTTTGGAAATCTCAGTTTCCTTTCTTGTTTAAATCTGAAAACATTTTACTCTTTGGGAATACATAGTCCCGATATACTCTTTTGAAGAAATGAACTTCAAACTTTACTCTTTATTCAACTCAAAACTCAAGTCTTATAACAAGGTTAAAACATTTGTAAAAGACTTTTGGAAGACTTTATGAACTTCTCTTGACATGGATCTTAACTTCTCTTGACTTGACTCTTAACTGATCCTTGAATTGAATTATGGATTCAAGGATTGTGATTTGTGATAGGAAAGATCTCATGATGTTTAGGAGTGTTTTTAGATAGTCAAACATGAAAAAGATTAAGAAATCACTATCTGGAAGCAAGTTGGCGATGCAGAGATGCA